GTGCATCACTGTGCTGTGGACAGATGTGTCAATCCAGTGCCACTGCTGCTTTTAGAGCTTTTCTGTTTTCTGTCCTTTCACTTCTCTGATGAAAGTTGGAGTCTGTCAGTCTGCTGGTCTTGGAACAGCAGCAGAATAATTTGAAGAAATATAAAATTATGGATAATGATGAAAGTAAGGAGCCTCTGGAAAACTTGGCAAGGCAGCTGTCAGGTTCCATGAAAATAATCTTACATTTTAATGGAATGCAAGTTAAAGGACGTGATAGAAACATTTCTTTGTTCTCTTGCTCATGCCCAGCAGAACCAAGTGAAATGATTCTGAATCACATTAGAGGGGGTGTTTGCTCTGTAGCTTTTCCAGCACTTCATCCTTGAGACATTTCCAGGAGGTATTTCAGAGTCACCTCTGGGAATGGCAGTGATTCTGCCACTGCTCGTGGCCATCTGAGCTCAGCCTTCCAGCAGCTTCATTCCCACTGCCCCTTCACCTGCTCTGTCCTGAATTTAAAGTGAACCTTTGGCAATTGCTTTGCTTTGTAGTGTTTGTTTTTGGCAGAGGAGCAGGGCTTGTGCAGTGATGCCATCCATGTGTCCCCTCATCCAGCCTCCCCATCAGTCCCTAGAGCTTTTAAGCACACCCTTGGATTCCCATCAGATTTGCCAGAGCAGCAGAGTCTTTACATCCAGTTCTGTAGCTGTCACCAAAACTGGCAGCAGCAGCAGCAGGGCGAGGCTGGGCTGGGAGGGAGCCTCCAGGAAAGCTCCAGGTGGGCTCTGTGGGCACTTCCAGCTCGGAGCAGAGCCAGGCTTTGCTCTGCCTCGGCTGCTGCTCAGGCTGAGCTGGTGCAGAGTGCCAGGGGAGCAGTGCTGAGATCTGCAGGTCTGAGCAGCCACACTTTGCTGGCTCTGCATGCTCAGTGTGTCTTGTGCTGTGCTAGACATTCCCTGCTGTAGGGGCTCCAGACTCCTGCACCCTAAGTGAGGTTTTATTTTGGTAAAGAGGCCTCCCCACAAGCTATTCAAACACCACAGGGTGTTCCAGTGCTTCCTGCTGGTCACAAGAGCTGCATCTTTTACTTTACACACTGCTGCATGTATGAATTTTTAGGGGATTTTATGCAACTCTTATTTTTTTTATTTTCATTGCTGCTGGCTCTCACTCCTAACATTGGAGCAAGATCTGCTGTTAAAATTGCCAAAGAAGTAATTGAGGTCAGGGCTTTGAAGTACTGCTTCTTCATTGTGAATTATTAATTCTCAAGGCATACAGAAAGAGTGACATGATAAAATTCATTGTAAAATAGTGTACTTTGTCACACTAGCTGCTCTGCTTGCATGCATTCTGCTCTGCTTTTCATAACATCTCCTTGGATTACCTCTTACCATTTTTTGTTGTTTTCAGTTCATCTTCAGACTGGATTTCTCATTTTCAACTCCTCCACACAGTTTTAAAATTACTGTGATGTGAAGTTTGGGAGGTCACAGTCCTAGTGAGAAATTACAGTGAAAAAAGGGAAGTTCCTGAGAGTTTCTGGTGAGATCCAAGGCTGTGTTAGAAAACAGTTTGGGGTGATACAACTACTTCTATACCCATAGAAACTGTAAAAAAATACTGGTTGAAAACCAGGAACTTCTCAGGCTCTTGATTTCTGGTCTGGGTCCAAGAATGTAGGATGCAAATTAAAGTTTTCATTTTCAGCCCATTTGGTGTCAGACTTTGTCAGAAACTCTTGTTGAGGGCTCTTAGCTCAGGGAAGGGTGGAGAGCAGAAGGGCTGTTCATGCTGGTCATGCCAGGGACATCAACAGGGCTGGCTCTCACTGTTTGCTTCAAGCTGGCTTTGCCAGGACCTCATTTTTTATGTTGTTTGCACTGTAGCATATTTGAGTCAATGCTGTTGCTTAAATTAGCACAGTCTCATCCTTGCTGTGCTTGTTTCCTCTCTGTCCTTGGTCTGGCATGAGGTTTTCCACTTTAACCCCATCCCCTGGTTTAAATTGATAGCCCTGCACCAGCCCTTGACATCCTGAAATCTCCCTTCCTATTTCTAAATATTAGTGAGAATGCTGCTTTTTATTTATAACAGTAGAGAACTGCAGTGATGAAAGTGTGATGATGCTTTTAACCTTCTTCAGGTGAAATAAGAAACTCAGATTTATTCCTGGCTGCTGAATCAAGTATCTCTTCCCAGATTTCTTCTAGAGGGCTTACGAAACACTGAAGAATTCTTTTAATTAAATGCACCCACAAGGTGTATCTGAAGAACTGAAGTAGATCTTTACCTTTGGCTAACCTCAGTCTTCCAAGCTTTTACCACACTGGAAAAGAATGTGGTCCCAAAAGGCTTTCAAGCTTGATGTGGTTTTTTGGGAAGCTGTTTAACTTTTGTTGTGGGGTTTTTTATTACTCTCTGATTACAGCTTAATGGCTTATTAAGAACAACAGTTCCATCCCAGTCCAAAAACATCTTTTCATAACAATTCTCCCTGTGAGTCATTGCATTTATTTATCTCCATATTTATTGCAGTAAATCCTTCACTTCCTCTGCTCCCCCAGCCACCCTGTTTGGTGTTTGTTGTTCCCACTGAAACCGTGGCAGCCATGGTAGAATACATCTTTGTTTTTCTGCAGCACTTCTGCATTTACAGAGCTGCACTGGGGTTTTTCTTGGATTGCCTCCCTATTTTATGTTCTGTGTCCTTGTTACAGCCTTTGAAAGCTTTTCCCAGCGAGCACAAAGTGCATTAAATGGCATGTGCAAATGAGCAACAGCACAGCTGCTAATTGTGCTAACAGATGTAAATAGGAAAAACATTCCTTTTCTAATGCTGCAAGTATTTATAGCAACCATTCCCCATCTTCCATAACACTTTGATTATGGATGGAGCCTCTCTCAGGTTCAGCAAAGTTGATGAAGCTTTTGCAGATGGTTTGATTTGCTGAGGTAATGTGGAAGAAATGCAGATGTTTAAAGCTTTTGTTTCAGATGCTTCAGGCAACGAAGTGGCTTAAAAGGAGAGCTTCTGCTTTGCATCCTTTAGAAACATCCGTGGATTTTGAAAGGGAACATATGGCAGGGCTGTTCATGGGGACTCTGAGCTCTTGGAGCTGCATTCCCCACCTGCCCTGTCAGGTTAGTTTGAGCACCATCTGCCTGGAGCAGAGCATGACTTGCAGAACCCTCTGGCCACAGCCAGGCAGCTCCCATTTCCTCTGTGCTGTGATTCATCCAGCAAGATCTGCATCCCCAGGACAGAGCCTCTCTTGGGAATGAGGGGCATCCTCATGGGTGGAAGTGTGTTTGCAGCTCAGAGGAGGTTGACCTCAGAGTAATTGGGATAATTCGGGTAATTTTCCTGCAGGGGTTTTGGGTAACCTTTTGGCAAGGTGATCCCTCCTCCAAGGCCAGGAGGAGCCTTGGAGGAGCAGAGCAGACTGCAGACCTCGGGCACTGAGGCACCCAGCAGTCTCTGCTCCCTGGGTTAATTCCCTTTTTCTCTGTTTTCAGCAGCCCAGGTGAAATCTGAAATGGCAATAAGAGACCTGTGGCAGTCTGGACAAATCCCAAGGACTCTCCAGGCCTCCATCTCCATCCAGCCCCATGGGGGTTTTGGACTCACACTGCATTTGATCCAGGGCTCAGTTGTCTTTGGGAAGCTGCTTTGCTCTCTTCATCTGACTCAATTCTCTTGCCTTTGCACAAACAGGATTTATGTGTAATTATCTAATCCATAGCCTGTTCCTCCTCTAGGAACTTCAGAGAGTCCTTCTCTCCCTTTATCTTTCTCCAGTGACAGACAGCAGAAAATGTGTGGAAGCATGAGGGAAATGGTTCCTGCTTAAGATGTGAAATCTCAAATCTGCAAATGTGTTCAGTGTGTCAATGAATTGCTGTGTCTCTGCAAGGTATCTGCAGCTTCTCTCTGTCCTGGCAGGCAGCTCAGTGCTTCTCACACAATTCTGCAACCTGCCTCTGTGTGCAGATAATTAAAAAAAAATAAAGTCCAAACCTTAGTGTTTCTCTTCTTCCTCACAGTGCTCCTCTTTCCCAAAGAGCTGCAGTGGTGTATTCTAGCTTTGGTCTTTTTTTTTCCCTGCAGTAAAAATTTCACCTGTTTTTCCCTCCCTTAGTTCTTAGGCTACTAAGAAATCTGCTAAAGCATTTCCTCATCATTTTGCAAAATGACAATTGCTTGGTGTCTAGGAGAATTTTGAAATCTGAAGTTGGGATCACAGGCATGGAAATGGATGTGGCTTTGACTGCACCTGCTAAGCAGAGAGCTCGTGGGAGATACCTTTGTGTAGGTTTTTCACCCCCCACTCCTCTCTTTCTTCAGAGAGCTAAAATTTAATTACAGAGCTTGGAAAACGCTTCACATCATGTAGAGAGTGAGCTAAATAAAACAATGAGAGGGAAATGAGAGCAAAGCAGGAACAAGAATTGTAAAAAAACCTCCTCATACTTGAGATTTCTGTACTACTCAAAGGTTTCATTCAGCTCCTTGAATGGGAGGGGATGTGTGGGGGTTGATGGGTGTGAATACTTATTATTTTCTGCAAGGGGAAAAGAAAGAAAAGGTGGCTTTCAGAATAATTCATAGGGTTAGTGGGTTATTAAATCCTAAAGCCTTGGCTGAGCTGAGCAATGAATGCCATTTTACTGCTGCTCAGAAGCCCCCTTTGCTCATCACTGCAGAACCACAAGTCAGGTCCTAGCAGAGGTCGTTTGGAATTCAACCTTGGTGGTAAATGTTGGGTTGAGATAGTGTTCTGTTAAAACAGAGCTGCTTTAAAAAAGAATGACTACTGTTATGATTACTAGCACAGAAGAGGGAAGGGCAGGAGCAATTGATCTGTGATCTTTTTCTGGCTCCACTGGAATTTTACAGGATAGTGGATCTACAGGATGGGAAGGCAGATCAGAAAGTTCATCTCAGTATCTGCTGGTTGTAGTCACAGTGAGGGGACAGATGTGTTAACCTGCACATTTTCCTGCAGGGGCTGGCCAAACACTGCAGGGTGTGAAGTACCAGTGGTGGGTGTGTTAAAGGTAATAAATGAGCTAAATCTGCTTTGTTTGGGTTTTTTTAATACATACTTCTAAAATTTTATTTTTGGGTAATCCTTATACATAATTTGTTTTTAAATAAATAAATAAAGATTCCCAAGGGAAAGTTTCCATCAGTACTTTTCCAGACTTCTCTGGTAGCTGTCACTGAAATATTGTGTTTGCTTTGGATAACTGAGCAAATTACAAATTGAAAGCTTAATAAAAGACAAGCAGTTAATAAGCACAACTTGGTGCAGTATAAACAGCTGAAAAAATGAAGTCTCCTCTCCCAGAGCTGCAAAATCAGGTCAAATGTCAGTTTTTGAAACAGTGCCTGGTTCTTGAGTGTGTGTTTCTACATGCTGTTTGAAAGGGTAGAATGGAATTCTCTTCTGGGGTTGAGGCTCTGCAGATCCTCTCCAAGTGCTGTTAAATACAACCACAGAACCCCAGACTGGTTTGGGTTGGAAGGGACCCCAAAGCCCATCCCCATCCCACCCCTGCCATGGGCAGGGACACCTTCCACTATCCCAGGCTGCTCCAAGCCCCATCCACCCTGGCCTGGAACACTTCCAGGGAGCAGCCACAGCTTCTCTGGGCACCCTGTGCCAGGGCTTAACCACCCTCACAGGGAAGAATTCCTTCCTAATACTTAATTTTTTAATAATTTAAACCTATTTTTTGTCAGTTGGAAGCCATTCTTTCCTTTCCCTGTCACTCCAGGCCCTTGTAAACAGCCTCTGTGATCACTTTCCCAGTGTGGATTTACAGCAGATGTAATTTTTTAGTAATTTGACCACATCTGGTGGCCAATCTGTGAAGGTTTGGCTCTTGCTGCATCTCTTTTCAAAATAACAAAGCCAAAAGCCCCATACATTTTGATCAGCCTTAAAAAATCACCTGAGTTCTCGTGTCCAGTTTGGCTTTGGAGCTGTTTTAGCTTGAAGACAAGCATCAGAAAGTTGCCTGGAGTCCATGAAGGGTTTATGAAATGACTTGAGAATTCTGAATGATGCTGTCTTTTCAGATGGTTGAAGGCTCCCCTTCCATTGTTGCAGGATGGCATTTTTGGAAAATTCATCTTCCATCTTTGGCACTCAGGCTCCTTGCAGTGTGAGGGGCTGGTGGTGCCAGGGGTTCCTTTTTGCAGCTCTGCTTCTCTTCTGTGCAGGAAGTTTTCACTGAAAGGAAACTTTTTTCTCTTTTATCCCTTTAAAATCATTGTCCCCTGCCCTGTTTACTTTATGTGTGTTTATTCGTGTAAAGGTTATTTATTGAACCTCTTAATACAAACAAAACATCTTTGTTTAAATACAGAGGGCACTTTCTGTGGGACATGTTATGTCCTTGAGGGGATGTTAGGAATCCTTCTTTCCCTTCTCATTTCTCGCAGCATTTTGCCTCTTTATAATGCAGGGTACATCCTGCTCTGCTGATTTTTTTTCGCCTGTGATTATTCAGTGTTGCACATAAGCAGCTGTGCCCAGAGAGAAGTGCCCCCCAGGAATCAGGAGGTGCTGAGCCATATGGCAGGTGAGGATGGAACATTGCAGCTCTGGGCTGAGCCCCTCCTGTTCACACCCTGTGAATGCACCCTGCCAGCACCATCAGCTCCTTCAGGCCGGGCTGCTGAGTGACACTGTGCCTTTCTGGGGCCTTCTGCCTTCCCTACTGAGCTCTTGCTTCTCCTCAAGCTCTGCTGAGAGCCCATTTTCCTGTTTAGTAACTCATAAAGGGACAGAGGGAAAAGCCAAGGGTGCTCTGAGCTGTCTGCACTGTCCTGCTCCTGGATATTGTACAGCTGTGTATGTGTCCAGTGGAGTTTCCCAGCCCTGTGCTCAGTTCCTTGTAGTGATCCATCTTTTGGAGAAACACAGGAGTGGGAAACTCTTGGATTATGCCCTTTCTGACCCAGAGATGGGCTAACTGAGAGGCATTTTAAAAACTTTTATTTCATTTTCAGTCTCATGAGAAGGGTGAGACCATACAGATGTTATAATTCACATTACCACAATCAGAAGCTATTTTTTAATTACAACACATTCTAAGTGTTTCTTGGTCTATCAGCTTTAGCCCCACCATGCTGTAAATGCCTTAAAGCAAATCATCTAGAATTACCCCTCGTGGGTCCCACTACAATGCATCTTTCATAGTTCTGTTTCTCCAAAGTATCCAGTCTTATTTGCAAGGCCATCCTTTGAAACTTGTTTCTAGTTCCATTTCTCTCTCAACATTGTCTGTCCTGTTCCATGGCATTTCTAAGTCTTCATTTCTTATCTCAGAGTTTACATACAGATGTGTGAGCCTTCTGTCAGGCTTGGAGAATTCCCTACAAATCCATTTCCCACAGGAAACAATGTGCAAGAAGCCCTCAGTGAATTCAGTTTCCACCACAGCAAACATAACCTGCATCTCTGGTTGAAATTGCCTGGGTTTGGGAATTTTATTGCAGCTGAAGATGGCATTAGCTTTTAAAATACAGCATTTTTTAAACACAGCATACAGTTGGATGAGTGTGGAAATGGGTGTGCTTGCAGCAGAGTGAGAAAGTCAGTACACACACTATTGCCATTATTTAGTGCCAGGTTGGACCAAAAAAATGCTCTTTCAGCCCAAAGAGCAGGCAGCCTGTTCCTGAGGAGGAGTGGGATTTCTGCAGCCCTGTAATGGGATATTTCTGCCTTAAACTGCATTTTAAACTCCACTGAGATTCTGAGCACTTTGCACTTTTATGGATATCCGTGAGGTACCTGATCACTGAAAAGTGAAATCACAGAGTTTCTGATGGACCATAGGTTTTCTTTGATCCTTTTGCATTTTAACCGTGGGATAACCTTTATCCTTTCACTGGTGGAAAAACTCAACAGCAGAAAACCAAACCATCACAAGGGGAGCTGATCTTAAGTGTTTGAAGCATGGTGTTTGAGCCAGGGAAGTATTGATGTGTTTCAAGCTTGACTCAGGCAAAAATGTCAATTTAGTGCCCCTTCCTGGTGTGCTGAGATGTCCAGCTCTGGGGGGTCTGTGCCACAACACTTGGGATGTGTTTGAAAGGCATCATGCTATGTATTAGCAGACTTGGAGCTGCCAAGTGGCATTGTTTGAAGCAGGATCCTGCCTTGCTGTGATCCCACACGTCGTGGCAGTGGGATTTTGTGCCCTTCAGTAAAGCAGAGCCTTGGCAGAGGATTTCAGTGCTTCCACAGCCTCTGCTCTCCAGGCAGCTCCAGTGTACCAGGACAGTGTTCAACACCTCCTCGTCTACTGCATGCATTGGTTTTTTAGTTGTTTTCTTTTTTAACAGATGTGAGTACATTCATTTCCCAGATTTTCCTGCTTTGTATTCCAGCAGCAGACAAAAATGGGAGCAGGAAATCCAGCAGAATGCCCTCTGGAGCACAGGCCCCTCGGTGTGTTTGGGTGGCACATATTTAACACCAGCCTGTGAGAACAGCATGCCAGGAATGTGGCGTCTGCCTGGCATCCTGATCACACCGTGTCAGAATTTCTCTTGCTCAGCATCTCTGTGCTTTATAAGCACAAACCAGCACAGCTCTGTGGTTTTCCCTGCTACAGAGGTTATGGAATGGCAGGCAGTGACAGTCTGTGTGCACCTAAGTGGTAGCTGGTGCTGGCAGGCAGACTCCTCCCAGTCCATTCCGCAGTTTCCCCACAGGAGATTGCTGTGAGCAATTGTAGGGATTCAGGGCTCTTGGGGACAGCTGGGGGCAGCTTCACCCTGCCAGTGCCACATTCCCTGTGAGCCCATCCCTGCTGTAACAGTGCTGTGCTTCCCTGCAGGAGGACTTTCGCAGTAAAGTGGAAGATTACATTAAGCGCTACGCGAGATGATGAAGGGGGATGGATGGCAGGACCACGGCTCCAGAGCTGTGCTGAGCCTCAACAGCAGCCAAGGCAGCCTGGCTTGTACCAGTCCTGTGTCCACGTTGTACTGAAGAAGAAAACTAACTTCATAACCTGTCCATGTTCAAAGGAGAGTTCAGCAAGAAATTGTGTCTGTTGGTTGAAAAAGTTGTCTGCTTCCTTTTACAAATGTTTACTCTTCTGAACTGTACTGTATATCCTGTTGATGAGATATGCTTGAGAAGTTAAAAGAAGTCACTATTGAAATTGTAATTACACTTTTTTTTTAACTCTTGCCTGATGTGGAGGGAGGGAAGGGAAAAAACAAACCCAAACAGCCCAAGCAGAAAAGGTGGTGTGTTTTGGAGCACTTCAAGTTGGCAATAAATGGTCTCCTGTGAACCAAATCACAAAACTGTTGCCTTTGATGAGCAGAAAAAACAATATGAGCTTTTTCTGAGAGTCACTCAGCTGAGGCTTAGAGCTTGCCAGAGTGGAAATGCAAAATGAGATTCTACTTCTGGTATTGAAGTTCTTGATGCTGTTTAATGTAAGTATGTTTTTGTCACAGTTTGGAATTTTTACATTGTTAATTTCAGGCCCTCTTTGGGCTACAGGTTCATTGGTTTTTTGTTTCTATTCATTGTGTGAAGTAGTTAAAAGAAATGCAGGCTAACATGTAACTTAAGTATGTTTAGTATTAGTAAAATGCAAAATGAGATTCTACTTCTGGTATTGAAGTTCTTGATGCTGTTTAATGTAAGTATGTTTTTGTCACAGTTTTGAATTTTTACATTGTTAATTTCAGGCCCTCTTTGGGCTACAGGTTCATTGGTTTTTTGTTTCTATTCATTGTGTGAAGTAGTTAAAAGAAATACAGGCTAACATGTAACTTTAGTACGTTTAGTATTAGTAAAATTATATATAGATATATATATTATATATATTATATATATTATATATTTCTGTGAAAAAATTAATGGAAGGGAGATTTTTTAAAAAAGAAATCTGCCTTTGGCTTTCCAGTCTGATGTGGGGAGAGAGCATCAGATGCTGTTTGATCTGATGAGGGTAAATTTAGCACTGTCACCTGGAGAGCACCTAAGTGTGTGCTCAGGATTCCTGCTCTGAAAGGGAATGACACAGCTGGAGCCACATCACATTCCCCCCCTCGTGCACACTTTGGCTTTCTTGGTTTGGGAGGATGTGATGCTGCAATTGCCTTTTCTGCAAGGAGTGGATGGCACGGAGAGCCTGCAGAGGAGAGGCTTCAGTCAGAGCTCCCTGGGCATCCTCCAGGATTGGGATCACACAAGGAGCTGATGGAGCCCAGCTGAGCTTTTACAAACCAGGAAATAAATATTTGTGTGATTTCATGCAGAGCAAGTGTGTGTGTGACACTTGGGCATTGGCTGCTGGGGTTTTATTCCCCCTTCATTCTCTCCTGCTGTTCCTCTGCTGCCGATGCTGGAGGAAATGACAACAATCTCCCTCAAGAGCACAGCAGAGCTGGGGTGCAAATGTAAGCATGAAACTTTGAGTTTTCCCTGTGCCTTTTCCTTTGCAGCTCCACCAGCTCCTGTAGCTGTTGCTGGGGGCCTGGAAAGCAGGGAGTGAAATGCAGGGATTGGCGTGCAGGAGGAGAGCTTCACCTGCAGACAGCATTCACAGGGAAACACGGACCAGCCCAGTGTTTTAGGCAGGCACCTGCAGTGAGAGATCTTTGCTCCCAGAACAGCTATGTCAGCAAAGGTAGGGGGTGAAACACTCACAAAGAGCAAGGTTGGGAATACATCTGGATTTTGCTTATGGCACTAGAAGGATTCTCTCATTCTTGAGTCAAAAACTCAACCAGGTTGCTGTAACAAAGTAGTTCTTCACCCTGGTGCTGTTGACAGGTTCCATCCTTCAGGAGGGGGGGTCACAGTCCCCATGGATGGCTCCCCACTCAGGCTGGGAACCTGCTGCTGTGCCCAGGGCAGAGCAGAGCCAGGGAAAGCTGCTCCAGGTACCAGCAGCCCTGTGAGCACAGAGCTACAGCCATCCCTGCCTCCCAGACAATCCTGTCTCACCCCTTCCTGGATTGCTGCTTGCCTGCAGGAGATGAGCAGAACAATAAAGTTTGGATACTGTTCAATACTGTACAGGAGGGTCTGAGCATTGGTTTGTGCTCATCCAGGACAGGGGGTCACCTCACAGTCCAGGAAAATAAACGGAATTTTTCCTGACAGTGAGGAGATTGGGGGGGTGTTTATATCTTTACATAAGTATATATCTGTTTATATGTATTTTTATGTGTATTTGTATAGGTGTAACTAACCTGTGCCTCTGCCAGTATCATGGACTGGTTTGGGTTAGAGGGGGTCCGGGCTGGGTGGGCCAGGCACTGGGCTGGGTGTCCCACTAGGTTTTGGGGTTTTTTTGGGAAATGTGAGAGTCGGAAGTAAACAGCAGCTGGGTGTCCCCCGGGAACCCCGCTGAGCCAGCAAGGCACTGAAGGGCTCTGGAGTGGACCAGAGCTGTGAGGGCAGGGCTGGGGTTCCCCATCCCATCCCTGGTGCTGCCCAGGCTCCCTGCTCTGATCCCACTCCTGGGGCTCTCTGGCATCGCAGAATGAGGGCACCGAGGGGAGGCTTCACCTCAGCCCTCACAGAGACGGGCACCTGCTTTATCCATGTATTTATTTCTTTATTTTAGGTGGGTAAAGCACCTTATTCCCGTTCCCTGTCAGTAGCCCCAGGGCACCAGCGGTGCCACCCGATCCCACCGCCGACTTCCCCGCGTTGTCCCCCCCCTCCCAGGCCAAACCCAGTGCTTGGGCTGGGGGAGAAGATGCCTTTCCACGCGCGGGGGGAACCCAGAACAGGACAGAGAGCGGAGCCGGGGATGTCCGGGCGCACCCAGACCCGCGTGTTGCTGCCGCGCCGGCACCGCGGGGCTGGCAGGATTTCAGCTCCCCACCCCCTGGGGTTTGTTTCCCTTTACCCCACACCCTGGGGTTTGTTTCCCTTTACCCCACACCCTGGGGTTTGTTTCCCTTTACCCCACACCCCCTGGGTTTTTCCCTTTACAGTTCTCCCGCTCGGCACACGATGCCGGGGACGCGGCCGGTGCGGGCTGAGCCCCGCGGAGTCCCCGCTGCCCGCTCCGCCCAACAACCATCGCTAAAGGACATTTACTCGGGAAGCGGCGGAGGAGCGGCGCTGGCGATGCTGTCCCTGCCTCCGGGGCTCGGTATCCTCCGCACTGCTCCTCCGGCAGGCTCTTCCCGAGCTCCGGGCGTGCCGCAGGGGAGTCCCGCCCGTGCCTCCCCTGCGCTGCCCTGCGCCGCCCCTACACGATGCCCTCGCTGCGTTTGCTCCTCCACACCACGAGCGCTGTCATCAGCAGGGTGACAAGGACGGGCAGCACGATGAAGGGACACAGCACGCCGTTCGGGGGGTCGTGCAGCGCCCGGCCCGACGGGGAGCAGTTCCTGAAGTATTGCTTGTGCACGGCCACGAAGAACTCGTCCACCAGCCGGTTGGGCCAGTAGCAGTCGAGCTTCTCGGCGATCAGCGCCGTGCAGTTGGTGAGCTCCCCGTAGGTGCTGCAAAACACAGGGACACCGGCTGGCACCGCGGTGGCACCGTGGTGGCACCGGCACAGCGCCCGGCCACGGCCACCCCACCTTCCCCCTGTGCAGTATGAAGTACTGTATCCATTATATATAGCATGTTTAAAATACAGAATATATACTACGTAATTTACAATGAATAGAATAGAACAGAATATCTCATATATATAATATACATCACATATATATATTAATAATATATATTAATATATTATATATATTATGTATTTTTTCATATATCGCATACAATATATCCTTTCCCGTACCATATATTCTATTACAGAAGTGTGTACCTGAGGTTGCACTATACATGTGAGTTCTTAAATTTTTTTTAAGCTATTTTTTGAGTTTCCAGATGGATATACCTAGCCCCATGAAAATATATAGCGGGTTTTTGAAAATTTATGTAAGCTATAAAAATATATGGGGTTTTGAGTTCACAGCCAGAGAGGTAAAAAGGTAACAGGATATTTTAAATTCCCACATTTGATGGCAACTCTGAAGTGCTCACTCACACCCAGAAGCTGTTTTTGACGTGGTGATGGTGGTTTAATTTACAGAAGGAAATGAAAACAGAAATAGTATTTACAGGAATACCAAGAAGCAAGTTTGGAGGTTTCTGGTTTGGTTTGTGTTAAATTTTGCAGAGTTTCCTGGCTGAACTGGTGCTATTAGAAAATACAGGCTAGACCCACATTTTAAGCAGACCTTCAGGAAACCCATCCCAACCTGGCCTTGGGAGCAGCATCCTCCAGCCTGTGTGAGCTCAGTCCAAAGGGGGACAGAAATGAGTGCACTGAATCTACTTTAAAATCTCCTTTAATTTAACTAAAATTGGGAAGATAGCACAGAAACCAGCTGGGCAGGCCCACCCCTCTAGGACCAGCAAGTCCATTTTTCTTTTTTTTTTTAATACCTGGAAAAGCAGGAGCAGCCCTGGGCCAGAGCCACTGTCCCTGTGCCAGGCCATGCAGCCATGCTCTGGAATGACAGCTAAACCCTCCCTGCTTTAAAAATGACAGCTGAACCCTCCCTGCTTTAAAACTGGCCATGCATAAAGACACAGATACAATTTCCCCCCATCCCAATTAGTCATGTCTAATTCTAGAGAAGCAAAGCAAAGCAAACCCCAGCTCTCCAATTAAAAACCTGCCTGGGGGAAAAGAAATATTTTGGAAGCAGCTTCCCAGCCCCTCTGCAGAGCCCCAGCACAGCTCCTCAGCTGGGGCTTGGGGTTTTGGGGCAGGCTGTGCCCACACAGCCAGAGATTTAATTAATAGGGCCTGCAGCTGCTAAAAGCAGCTTCTGCTCAGCATCCCAATGTGCAAAATTACCATTTCCCGTTCATCAGCATCCTTAGGAGATCTCAGGAGCTGCAGCATCTTCAGGAACCAGAGGGAAAGTGTTAACAGGCGAAGAGAAGCTATTTTTAAAGCTCAAGGGCCACAGTGCAGCTGGCTTAGCCTTTCCCTGGCTCCAACTGCACTTCCACAGGGATAAATCACTGCTCCCACCACTGTGTGTGGAGACATGCAAGGAACCAAAGCCCAGCAGTGGCAGCAGATGAAAGGATAAACGGGCACTGCCCTTTGCAGGGGGCAGCAGTGCATTCCAGCAGGTGAGCATGGAGCTGAGGGAGGGGCTGGGCAGCCACGGCCCCAGGAGCAGCACGAGGGGCTGGCCACAGGGCTGTGACTGGAGGGAGGGCACTCACCTTGATGGAGTGGCTCAGCACACCCTGAGTCTTGTCCCTTCTACTTTTGCTGTTTGCATTAAAACCCCCCTGCTCCAGCTGGCATCTTCAGCAGGGCAGGGTGGCACCCCGGGCACTGACCCCACACACCCCTGAGGGCTGTGGGGACAGAGTGGGAGGGTCCCAGAGGGAAAAGGAGCTCTTCAGGAGCAGGTCCCAGTGCAGACATGACACTGAGGGCTGCTGAGCTCCTGGCCAGGGGAGAGCAAGGCTGGTGCTCTGCAGGAGCTGATTTCTCACCCAGAGCACACCCGGCCATGGCACTTCATCCACGGCCAGCTGAGAGCAGAGCTCAGCTCCCAGCTGTGCCCAAGTGCTCTCATTTCTTCCACTGCACCTCACAGACCCCCAAATGGCCCCAAATGCGTGCCTCCATCATCCCTGTCCATCCCAGGTGCACCAGTCACAGGGCACTGGGGACCTTCTCCTGCCACAGCAGGACACCAGCAGGATCCACAGGCTGGGAAGGGACAGCCAGGGTTAACCACAGGTCCAGGCTGCGTCAGACAGGATCAGGATCCCTCTGGAGAGCAGCAGTGCTGCTGCCTGGGCCTGAGTGTGCTCTTCCCTGCCACAGCCCTGGTGGATGTGTCCCACTGCCTCTCCCAGGCAGCATCTGCTGCTCTCTCTCCTCACATTCCTGTGGCAGCACCAGGCCAGCCTGGTCCCCCTGGGAATTCAGCCTGGGCTGGTGGTGAGATGCCTCAGGAGGGGGGGCTGTTTTCCTGCTCAGCTCTGCCCTGCTGTTGTCACCCCCAGCCCAGCCCCAGCACGCCGTGTTCCCCCACACCAGCAGGGCAGAGCTGAGCCAAGCCTGGAGGCTGCAAGGATCACCCTGAGGCACAGAGTGAGAACTCCCTGGAGAGAGGATGCTCTGCTAAGGGGGGTAAAGCAGCCTGAACTTCACCCTGTTTGAGAAAGTTCCCAGGGATGGATGGAGAAGGGGGGGTCACGATTTGCCCACGTGGGTAACATCAATCTCTACACAACAATTATTGTGCTCATTTTAACAGCTTTACTTCAATATGGATTCAAGAAACAGGGCAATATTTCATACCTATGCTATGTAGGAAATAATTGGATGCAGCCACACCCAGACCCCACCCCAGGACATTTGAGGATGTTTTTCTGCATCCTTTTTGCATCTCCTGACTCAAGAGAACAGCCTCCATAATAAACTTTGTTCCAAGCTTCCGTTCCGCTTGTAGCCAAGATTTTGGCTTTTAGACAAGCCCACAGCTCATCTGCAAGCCCCCATCTCCTCCACAAAAACATTAAGCAGCCATTCTAGGATAGCACTGGGAGGAGGGCAGGTTTTCCCAAACAATCCCACCACTGCCAGGAGACAGACACCTGGCCCTGAAAATCTTGGCTGTGCTTGGGAATGTTCTTCCCTACCCAATGTGAGCTGCAGTTACAACTGTTGTCCCTGTCTCCATGGAAATGCTTTGGCTTTAAAGGATGCTGTGGCTGGACTGCCTGGGATGAAGGGCTGCAGGCAGGATGGGGATGGGAAGCAGTCAAAGAATGATTTAGGGTCTGATGGCATCTGAATGCTTGTACTGCTATAAATCCTAAGGAATTCCTCTGGGGTTTTTTACCACTGCAGCCAAGACTGGAATTGGCTGTGGCATTTATTCCTTGACAGCACTTGGATGTGGATGGTGTTGCACTTGGACTGGGGCTCACAGGATTGACAGCTTTGGGGTTTTTTCACCAAGAATATCCCGGGATTTCCTGTTCTCCCTGAATTCCTTGCTTCAGAGGGTGAAAAAGAAAACACCATCAGGCTTCACTTTTGCTTTGCAAATTGAAAGAAAACATTGATTTCCTCCTCTGCAAGGCTGCAGAGTGAGCCTGGAGCCAGGCTAAAGGGGTATCCAGAAGGGACCTGGCAAGCTGAAGATAAATAAGTAGATAATAAGAGAATGGATCAATCTGTTTTCTGTAAATAATGGATCAATAACCTGCAGACAGAGTGTGAGTGTGCTGACAGTTGGGAGAGCAGCTCCATCCCTGGCTGCAGCTGTCAGAGCAGCACCATGACTGCCCTGGTGAGCTCCTTCCCAGCACGGGGGCAAAGCATTCCAGGGAGATTTTCAGCAATGCCACAGCCTGGATATATTTGGGATGAAGATGCCTGGCTGGGCTGGAGTGACACCCACAGCTGTGGCAGCACTCAGCACCCTGAGCATCCCCCTGTGCACAAACCCTGCTGCAAATCCATTCCCTGGCCTCAGCCCTGCAGCCCAATCCCAGCAGGACAAATATCCCCAAGTCATCAGCGCCTGCTGACGCACTGGGGTGGCAGTGGCAGCCCCAGCCCTCCACACCCCTGAAATAGCTGCCTCCAGGGAGACCACAGCTAATCCCCCTGGCCCAGCCCATGGAGCTGGAGTCAAAATAGCCGAGCTGCTCTTTGGGATAATTCACTGGGCACAGCTGAGCTCCTGGCCAAAGCAGCTCGGCCACCAAAGATCCCAGATGCAGCTCCAGCCTGGCCTTGAGTCCCTGGGCAGCCAGAGTGGGCAAGAGCTCACACAGGCTCCCTCAGTCCATGAGAAGAACTTGAATATCAAAATCCACCCTTTTTCCCTAAATAAGCAATGGTGAGAAAGCCAGCAGAGCTCAAGGGGGCTGGACAAACCTTCCCAGAGAGCTGGTGCTGGTCCCCATGGCCCAGCCCAACCTCCTGCTCCAGAGAGAGCCCTGGGCTGCTCCAGAACAGGAGCAGTGCTGCAAGAGCTCAGCTGATGCCTCTGAGGGCCAGAGGGCAGCAGGGTAAGGAGAAACTCCCTAGGTAAAGTTAGACAAAACAGTTTTTGTGTTAACTTCTTTACTTTCTCTGTTTCAGCAATTTCTTCTTCTGTTAACTCAGTAGTTTAACCTACACACCAACTACTGAACCCATCCACAGAGCAGCATCTGCTGCCTACAAACAGGACCAGTGACCCACGATGACAGACTCTGCTGAGACAATTCATTTGTCCAGATTGAAACACGGGGTCAGAAACTAGAGGATATATACAAAAATCACAGAAATTAGAAAGTATTGATTAGGAATAGGCACATAAGTGATGGGAATTGCTTAATATCTGCTGCATCCTTGGTCTCCTGAGAAAGGAAAGGACTAGGTGCAAAACAGCAGGGAAGAATGCAAGGATGCTTGGTAAGGGGAAGGATGTTTATCAAAAACAGCATACAGTATGCAAGGACACTGAGATATGGAGGCTCCTTGGGCCCCTGAAATGAATCTGGACTCCTGGCTTGGACAGTGGCCAAAAGATCAGTAAGCATGTGCAAGGCAACAGGGTCAGAACGTCAGCCCTGAGGAAGACAAGTTTACTTCATCCCCCAGGATCCCGAGACCACCACCAGAGACAACTGACAAGATGATTAGCACACAAAGCTGAGAGGGAGGGGAGCCAGAAAATTATCTATTGTGAACCTTGGTGCACAGGTAACATTCCAGGGGATACAAGAAAACCTGAGTGAGCAGGGGGCAGGCATGACTTGGTGGAGATATCCTCATGTGTCTGGCCCAAAAAAAGCATACCTAACTTTAAAACTCATTGTCTGAATAAAAGCATACCTAACTTTAAAACTCATTCTGTCTGAATAAAAATGTACCTAACTTTAAAACTCATTCTGTCTGAATAAAAGCACAACTAACTTTAAAACTCATTCTGTCTGAATAAAAACATACCTACTTTAAAACTCATTGTCTGAAAAAAAGCATACCTACTTTAAAACTTATTCTGTCTTTGAATTTTAGAGTCTCTCTCAGTGTCAAGATGTTCCCATCATGCCATCCTCAACTGAGCAGGAATTAGGGAGCTTAGGGGCATTTCCCTGCTAAATGCTGCATCCAGGAATCTTCCCACCATGATGCTGCTGGTGGTACAGAGGCAGAACCTCCCAGCACTCCTCCTGGTTTCAGACAGGTTTCAAGCACTGAAATGCCTTGGTTTGGGGCAAGATCTGGAGAGAACAGGCTCTAGGCAGGTGCTTTATTTCCATTTCTTTTTCTCACACCTGGTGGAAGACAAAATCCTTCCCTAGGCCCAGAGGGGTGACCAGCCAGCTATGCCACCCCCTGCCCACTCCTGCTGGGACATCTTCCCTTTCCCAAAAAGAGGATGGTGATTCCTCTTTTTTTCCACACAATCCAGGGAGCAAGGTGTTGAGCCCACCCAAACCCCATATCCCTGCAGCTGATTTACTGCAGTAACTAAACCTTTTCTACCCGATTTTTCCACTGTCCTGAGGGCACAAGGGGATCAGAGGAATGTCACCTCTCAAATAACCCTGAGCCATGTGTTTGCACGGAGCAAATGGACTCAGGCAATCAAATTAAACCCTGCAAGCTTACCAACATTTCCTCCAAGTGCCTCAAGGGGAACGGGTTCAGCTGAAGCTGCTTAGGAGACAAGCAGGACGTGTGAGCTGAAGAACAAGATGGTCAGGGCTGGAACAACAGCAGCAGCAGCCCTGGGCATTTCTGAGCACCAGACCAGGCTTCTCAAGACCAAAAACCTCCCACAGTCTTTCAGCTCTCTTTTCTTCCCCTCCATTCTGCCAGGGACCAAGGGGAAGGAAAACCCAATAGTATTGTTTAGAACAACAGAACAGAATCATCAAGGTTGGAAAAGACCTCCAAGATCCAAGCCAAGATCCTCCAAGTCCAACCTTTGGTGGATACACACACGTGTGTTTGAATTTCACCCAGAAGAAAGGGCCACGAAGCAGGAAACCACAGAAATCTCACAAAAACCTCTTAATTTTTGTGCAAAGCACTCATGGCACACAGCACCATCTGCTCCCTGTTTCCAGCTGATCCCCATCCCTTCTGGTGTCACATGAGCTCATTTTTGTTCTGCCACTTCATTTTCCCAGGGAAAGGCCATGGAAAGGCAGAAGATGGAAAGTCAGCCACCCCTGACCAGTCTTTCAGCTTCAATCAAAACCATCTCAGCAGATCTACACCGTGGTGGTACCAAAAGATTCAGCTCTGCTGACTATAAATAGGAAGGAGCTAATCCAAAGCAAGCACTGTTTGCAATAAAAATAAAACCAAACCCAAAGGAAATTCCCCCAAAAAATCCAACAAACCCCTGCAGAGCAGCACATTCCCCACATGTGTGGGGTGTCCCCCTGGTGGGGCTGCACTTTCCACCCTCCTCATCCCACAGAGATGCTCCCAAGCATTCCAGCAGGGAAGCAAGGCTGCACCTCTGCTGCTCCCAAGCTGTAACTCACAGCTGCCTCCCTGACACTGATTACAGACAGGAGGCTTAGCAGGCAGCTGCCATTGCCACACCACTGCAGCCTCTCCCTCTGGTTGCTTGGGAAAATCAACACACAACTGCTGGAAGCTCTGGTGGGACAGTTTGGGGTTTTCTCACAGTGAGGCTCTGAGCACAGCTCGGTGGGTTAAGGGGTTTGAACTGTCTGGAGAACCAGAGTGCTGAGCAAAAATGAAAAACCTCCTGGGAAATATGTCCATCAAGCTGTGAGGCACCAGAAGCCCCCGTGGTGGGGATCCCAGTCTGCCCCTTCATTAACCCATTGATTTCCAGCCATGCTCTGCTCCTAGGGGAGCCCCACTGCTGTGGGGTGGAGCATGACCACCATCCTGACTTCCAAACCCTGCTTAGGCTGGGCTTCTTGAAAAACCCTTTAATTCCAGAATGGCTGAGGCTGGAGATGACCTCTGGAGATCCACTTCACCCTGTCCAAACACCCCTGCTCACACAGGGCCACCTACAGCTGGTTGCTCATGACCATGCTCAGCTGGTTTTTTAGTATCTCCAAGGATGGAAATTCCACATCACCCCTGGGAGATCTGTGCCAGTGTCTGGCCACCCTCAGTGAAAACCACATTTCCTGGTGTCCAGAGGGGACCTCCCATGCCTCAGTTTCTTCCCATGCTTTCCCACCAGGACACTTTCCTGGCTCATGTTCAACCTGGTGCTCACCAGAACCCGCAGGTCCCTTTCTTGCTGTCTTAGGCTGGAAATGCAAGGTGTGCCTGGGGGTGTGTATTCCACTCCCATCTGTCAGAGGTGGGGCAGTTCTCTTCTCTGAACTGGGCAGTTTTCTTTATCTCTTCCACTACAAATCCTCCCTGCAGGAGGTATCTTCTGTTCATGGCCACTGAGTGTCCTGCATGGCTGATAAAATTCCTCAAGCCATTGGGAGATGCTCCACCCAGGGGGAGGAACCAAGCATTCCTTCCTGGACAGAATCTGACCCTGGGAACACCACAGCAGCCTTTCCCCACTGCATTCCCAGAGGAGCAGCTTTCTTCTCCACTGTATTCCCAGATGAAGACCAGGCCCATCTACACCACCACTGGACCTTCAGAGGAAAACTCCACCCTTGTCCAGGATCCCTGCTCCAGCAGAACCACACCTGGCACTGCAGGAGGGCTGCAGCCACCACTTAATGGGACTGCCAGCAACACCCTCACCCACAGGGTGTCAGGTCGTATTCTGACTCTGTCAGTGTTGTCCTCTATCTCTGCATTATTTATTTCATTTTTATTTTCTTCCCTAGTAAAGAACTGTTATTCCTATTCCCATATCTTTGCCTGAGAGCCCCTTAATTTCAAAATTATAATATTCAGAGGGAGGGGGTTTGCATTTTCCCTTTCAAGGGAGGCTCCTGCCCTCCTCAGCAGACACCTGTCTTTTCAAACTGAGACACTGGTTTCTCTGGGCAGCTCCAGCACATCCTGGTGCCTGGGGCTGTTCTCCTCAGTGCAGGACTTTGCCCTTCTCCCTGCTGAACTTCAGGAGCTGCCCAGCCTTGCTGAGGTCTCTGTGGACAGCAGCACAACCCTCCTGGTTTGGTGTCACCAGAGGTGCTGGGGTTACCCTCAGTCCCATCACCCACATTGCCAATGGAGAGATCAGCAGCACAGTGGTGACCCCCAGGCCTGGCTGTTCCAGCATTCCCAACCCACCTCACCCAGCACACACAGGAGACAGTGCCAAACCCTCACCAACGTCTGGGCACACAGCACCCACTGCTCTCCCCTCCAAGCCCTCCAGGTGTGACCAGGCTGGAGAAACCCCTGGGGGACGCAGCAGGGACAGAGCAGGACAGCCAAGCAGAGTGACATGAGGGTGCTCCCCCGCGAGACAGACCCCAGAGCGCCAGAGCAAGGGACAGAGCCAGGGCAGCCAAGCAGAGTGACATGAGGGTGCTCCCCCGCAAGACAAACCCCAGAGCGCCGGACGGACGAGAGGGAGGAGCAGAGGGAGCTCACTTACCCCACGGTCTCGTCCCAGTCACACCAGAGGCGCTGGCCGATGCCCTCCATGCTGTCCTGGAAGTCCTTGAGGCAGTAGTGCCGGATCATCCAGCCGTAGTCGGCCTCCTGGCACGCCGTGGCCGCGATGAAGTGCTGGGCTGCAAGACAGGCCAGGGCTGTCAGGCTCTGCTGGGCTCACAGGGAGGCCTCAGGGTTTGGCTTTTCTAGTTTTCACATTCTGTGCTGCTCTAGTGTGCAGTCCTGAGCTTCATGTTAGGGCATGGTGAGCTCTCTGCACAGAGCAGGGAGACAAAACAATTCCTTCTCTAGCTGGGGACCAAGGACAAATGATCCAAATCTCAGGCCCAAGAGCACAAACAACGTGGGCTGAAGAGAGAAAAACAAGAAGGATGGGACTTGGTGGGCTAAAACTGTAATGGGACAATTAACTCCAATATGCAAATGGACCAGAACTTATAAAAGTGAGAGACCCCATGACCAGTTGTCCATTTTGTGACCATTTTGGTTTATGTTGGGTGCAGCCCTGGCTGGGCTCTTGTGCTGCCCAAGGTGGATCCATTGAGGCCTTTTAATAAAACCCTACTTTATTCTTTAGCTCTGTCCAGCCTCTGTTCTAGGGCACCTCCTCCTCCCAGGTTTGTTCCCCTCCTCGCAGCCCTGGGGCCCTCCCAAGTGCCTGGTGCTGATAAATCAGTTATTCAAGACATGCTGGGTAACTCATAAATTAGTAAGGATGTGGATTTATGCTCTGCTGATCTCCTGAAGTGCCTTTGGACTTCAAATGTCCAGGTTTTGGGCTTGAAACACAAGTAAGGGTGTGGGGGAAGCTGGGGAATAAGAGAACCCTGCTGCTGACCCCTGAAAAATGACCTGCCCAGTGCCACACTTGGGAACAAACATCCACCTCTGATGGAGCACAGGGACAGGCACAGGGAAATCCATCAAACCCACCCCTGGCTGCACAGCGCTGACTGAATTCCCTCCTGGGAATGTGTCCCTGCAAGTGCTTTGAAACAGGGACAAAAAAGGTGCTGCTTACAGCCTCAAGCACAATCAGTGCAATGCTGCTGGTGAGGGGAAAGGGAAAGGACGGTGATGCTACAAAGGGAAGGGAAAAAAATCCTTTGGGGGAATGGTTTAGTGAGGCTATAAATAAATAATAGCTTTCCCTTGGTGCCAAAGTGCCAGCTAGTGCCTTTGCAGCTCCTGGAGTGCACTGCAGGCAGGCACCACATACCAGATCTATTTTTTGCTACGTGTGAATAACTCTGTGCTTTATTTTTATCTGATTTTTTTAACACAAGAGAGTTGAGCTGCTTATTTAGTGGCCAAGGGACATCACCATGGGACACCATCCCTCTGCAGCCCCTCCAAAATCCTTGGAGCACCTAGGTAGCAGCATCCCATGGGAATGGGTGGGAATTTGGGTGGGAAGGGCCCCCAGAGCCTTGGCTGATGCTCCTGGATGGATGCAGGGCTCCCATGCTGCCTCTGACAGCAGCAGCCTGACTTGAGATGAAACCATGGGAGTTACTGAGCCAAGAGAAGTTAAAGAGCATTAAACCCTCACTGCTGCAATAACAAAACTAAGTTTATCAACATCTCAAGCTCTGCCTAGCTGATACCAGCCAGGAGCACAGCCTCAGGCAGGGATAAGCCCTGCTCCCAAATGGGAGGGCTTGACATGCTGAAGCAAAGCACCAAGAGAAGAAGAAGAAGAAGCAGAAAAAGCAGAAAGACAAGAAGAAGAAGAAGACGACGAAGACGAAGAAGACGACGAAGAAGAAGAAGACGACGACGACGACGAAGAAGAGGAAGAAGAAGGAGAAGAAGAAGCAGAAGAAAAAGCAGAAGAAGCAGAAAAAGCAGCAGCAGCAGAAGAAGAGGCAGAAGAGGAAGCAGAAAAAGACAAGAAGACAAAGAAGAAGAAGAAGAAGGAAATAATTTTACACAAGACGACGAAGAAGAAGAAGACGACGACGACGACGAAGAAGAGGAAGAAGAGGAAGAAGAAGGAGGAGGAGGAGGAGGAGGAAATAATTTTACAAGAGGCAAATGTAAAATTATTTACAGACTGCAAATCTCAGTCCAGGCAGGCTCAAGGATGATTGATGGCCAGGAGGCTTTCCTCCCCTTCCCTTCCCATCCCATCCCTTCCAGTCTGGAGGAGCCAAGTGAAGGAGTGACACAGCTGAGTGAGCACCAGCGTCCCAGGGAGGCTCAGGAGCCACCCCGGGGTCACCCCTCGGTGACATCCGTGCACTGGGCTGTGAAGGACACGTAAATACCACAGCCAGCACTTGTCTGGGCAAGCAGCTTGCAGAGAAAATGCTGCTGGGAATGTGTCAGGTGCAGAGCAGAGCACAGCAAAAGGACAGGGAGAGCAGGGGAGGAGAAGGGATTAAAAAGCAGAAAGATGAGCAGCCAAGGGGATTGAGGAGCACAGGAGGAAACAGGACAGGAAGGAATGAGTGAGGCATGCAAAGCATGGGGAGAAATTGAGGAAGACGAAGCCACTTGAGGAAATTCAGCAAAAACACCTTAACCTTGGGTGGAGAAACACTGAATAAACCATGGGGAGGAAGCAATCACAACCTGGCTGCAAGCAGCAGCAAAGCCACACATAGCTGGTAGCCAGCATGAAAATCAGCCCTACCATTAAAACAAACAAAAAAAACCAACCCAAACCAAGGGAAAACCAAACCCTGGGGAGCTTTAAGCACTTGCCAATCACAGCAGCTCAGAAGATGCAGCTCTGGAGGTGCTGCAGAGGCAGGTGAGCACCTTGCTGTCCCCCTGGCAGCTCCTCAGGGCTCCCCTGCCTGCCCCAGCAGGAGCTGCTCCTGAAGAGCCTCTCCCACACCTACACGTGGGCTCTGCAAATCCCTCTGCCCCAGGGGCTGGGGAAAGCAGAGACATCATGAGCCTCTCCCACACCTACACGTGGGCTCTGCAAATCCCCCAAATCCCCAGGGGCTGGGGAAAGCAGAGCCATCAGCCAGTGACCTTTTCCAAGGCCACTGGATTCTGGACATGGTGAAGGGCTCTTTGTTCCAGGCCCAGCAGGAACAGGGCTGTGAGGATGGAGCTGGGCACAGCAAGGCAGAAAAGCTCTTTTGTTTCCAGCTGACCAGGAGAACTGACTTTAGCTGTAATTGCACAAATTAGGGTCAAAGTGAGAAGCTCCTGCCACGTTTCCACATGGTGCCCACCTCACCCCACAGTTCCCTGCTGCTTCACAGATTTTTCCCCAACTCCACTGCAGACTTCAGGCTCAGGGTTTGTAACAACAGGGGGGAAAAAAGCAGGGAGGGATTTTTTTATCTCCTGTCTCTCCTTCCAGAAGGTTTTCCTTCTGCCCTCAGCCCTGCTGATGGAGATGGTGTAAGTCAGCTGCAGTGAGCTGTAAATAACTCAGCTCCAGAGCAGTCACAGCTCTGCACGCAGCAGCATCCATCTGGGAAGGCTGCAGGATCTCTGAAGAACTGAGCTCCAAAACTCAACTGGACCAAGGCTGAGCTGCCTCCCCTCTCCTGGGCCCCATCACTGCCATTCCCTCAGGAACAATGGCATGGAGAGCTGCAGGAATGCAGAGATCCTCTGGGAGCATCCCACTGCAGCCACACAGCACCTCCACAGCCCAGCTTGGTCTTTAGCTGGGGAATCACAGAACCCTGGAATGGTTTGGGTGGGAAAGGACCTTCAGGTTTATCCAGTGCCACCCCTGCCATGGGCAGGGACACTTTCCACTGTCCCAGGCTGCTCCAAGCCCTGTCCAGCCCTTGGGCACTGCCAGGGATCCAGGGGCAGCCACAGCTGCTCTGGGCACCCTGTGCCAGGGCCTGCCCACCCTCACAGGGAAGAATTTCTTCCCATTATCCCACCTAACCCTGCCCTCTGGCAGTGGGAAGCCATTCCCTCTCCTCCTTCCTCGAGAATTGTTGATGAACAACCTTCCCTGCTGAGAGAATCCCTGATTGCCTGGGAAAAGATGCAACATTAAGGACCCTTAGTTTGCCTCCTCTCAGGAAACACCTGGAGAGCAGTGGTGAGGAGGTGATTGGAGGGATGGCTTCTGCAGGCATCCCAGATCCTCATGATTGCCCTGGGATTGATGTCCTGGAGAGTCTCAGAAAGCATCCACCAGGACTCAGCTTACTGAGGGCTAGCTGCAAAAAAGCCTGTCACACATTTATTTCAGCAGAAAAACACTGTTGGGTCCTGAATTGTCACAAAAAATTCAGGAAGAGGGAAGACAACTGGACTTTCCTACACTGCACTCCTGAGAGCTGGAGCCTGGACCAAGAGCTCAGGGCCAACCCTCCCAAAACAGCTCTGGGGACACCACCCCTCTGTGAGCCCACACATGTGTCACAGTGATGGTTCACCAGCAAAAATCCCAGAGCTTTCTCTGCCAGAAACATCCTGCACTTCCCATCACCACCCCTCTGCACAATCCCTCGCTCTCTGGCCTTTCCCCCCTCAGTGTTCCAGGAACTCTGGGAAGTCCTGGGCTTCTCCTGCTGGGATGTGCAACCAACCCCACAGGGAGGACTGTGGAGGCTGAGAACAGATTTGGGCATTCCAGGCTGGCACAGCAGCACGGGATGTTCCCACTCCCAGGCACTTCTGCAAGTACCCCTGGCGGTGCTGGGTGAGTGATGAAACTGTCTGACAACACCTCACAGAATTCACCAGAACATCCAGCTGGACTGCCTGGATTTTTGGGGGGAAACTGTTCAGGGCTTCATAGCAAAGAGCAGGAAATAGGCAGATATTGATCCAAAAACTGAAGCCCAAAGATGGCAGGTAAGTGCCAAGTGACACTGACAGCAGGGCTGGCACTCGTGGCACCAGCAAAGCTCTGGGCTCTGAGAAGAAACACCCCAGTATTGTCCCCTGGGCTTCTCCCAAATTCTCAGAGCTCCCCTGGGAAATGAGCAGTGCTCTCAACAAGCCCCGGATGGAAAAAGGCTGTTTGCCTCTCCTCTCCAAGGCGGTGGTTTTGCTGTTTTCTTCAGAACAAGCCTCGTGGTCTGGACCTGGCTGCAGAATAAAACACTCACAGGAGGGACATGGGGCAGGAGGCAGAGGATGAGTGTGCAAAACATCCCAGTTTGCAGCCACAGAAATGGAA